TATCAGCATTATAATATTCTCTAACTTTGTTTTTTTAGCCCCAAAACCAAAGTCTAAGCATTTATATGTACCTCACTAAAGCCTTACTTGAGAAGGTTTTGTAGAAAACTGTTGATCAGTTTTGAGACAAGTTTCATAGGTTTTGAGAAAGATACTGCCAAATTCAATTCAAATTGAGAAATTCATTAGTTGAGATGTTATAATCATTAGATGAAATTTATGCTAATGTCTTAAATAACAAAATTTAGATACTCAGGTTTTTCTCAGTTTGGTAGTTGGATAATTTTATTTTCCAAATAAGAACAAATTGTGTTTCTAGTCCAGCAAGTAAGAAGCATGGAAACTATTACTCCTGACTACAAACAAGAAAAATGCTGAGTTGGGCAAGGTCACTCACACCTATAATCCCAGCACTTTGGAGGCCGAGGAGAGAGGATTGCCTGAGTCCAAGGTTTCAAGACCAGCCTGGGCAATTTAACGAGATCTCACCTCTACAATAAATCAAAAAATTAGCCGGGCATGGTGATGTGCGCCTGTGGTTCCAGCTACTTGGAAGGCTGAGGAGGAAGGATCGCCTGAGCCCAGCAGGTCGAGGATATGGTGGCTGTGAGTGTGCCACCGCACTTCAGCCTAGGCGAAGTGTGAAACTCCAACCAAAAAAAAAAGAAAAAAAGAAAAAGCTGAACAAACTGAGAAATATCTCTTGTTATATCAAACAGAGAACTGAGGTCACAGGGCAAACTGTTGTTCCAAATTCAGAGAGACAGAAGGACAGATATTATTGATAACAATCACATCTTACCATAATAGAAGCTTAAGAGGAGAAACTTCATGAACAAGTATCTGGTTTTACACAGTACATCGTGTTTGGTTTTCAACGAAAAAATTACAAGATGGTGGCTTCTGCCCATAATCCCAGCTACATGGGAGGCCAAGGAGGGAGGATTGCTTGAGTCAAGGAGTTCAAGACCAGGATGGGCAACATAGCGAGACTTCATCTCTATGAAAAAATAAAAAATTAGCAAGGTGGCCCATGCCTGTAGTCCTAGCTATTTGAGAGGCTGAGGCAGAAGAATTGTCTTAGCCTAGGAGGTCGAGGCTATGGTGAGCTGTAATTGTGCCACTACACTGGGTTACAGGGTGAGAACGTGACTTAAAAAAAAAGAAGCTCCTGGCCGGACTTGATGGCTCAGCCTATAATCCCACCACTTTGGGAGGCCTAGGTAAGTGGATTGCCTGAGCCCACAGGTTTGAGACCAGCCTAGGCAAGTCCTTTACAATAAATAAAAAATTAGCCGGGCATGGTAGCATGCACCTGTAGTTCTGGTTACTTGGAAGGCTGAGGTGGAAGGATCGCTGGAGCCCAGCAGGTCGACGCTGGGGTGGCTGTGAGTGTGCAACTGCACTCCAGCCTGGATGATGGAATGAGACTCCAACTCAAAAAAAGAAAAAAAGAAACTTCCAAACATAAAAAAACAAAAAGAAAAAATTAAAAAAAAAAACAGCACCAGCTGAACACAGTGGCTCATGCCTATAATCCCAGCACTTTAGGAGGCTGAGGCGAGAGGAATGCCTGAGACCAGAGTTCAAGACCAGCTTGGGCAACTTGGTGAGATCTCGTCTCTGCAATAAACCAAAAAATTAGCCTGATGTGGTAGCGCGCACCTGTAGTTCCAGCTACTTGGAACTCAGGATGGCCTGAGCTTAGCAGGTAGAGGCTGTGGTGGCCCTGAGCATGCCACTGCACTCCAACCTGGGCAACAGTGAGACTCTGACTCAAAAAAAAAAAAAAAAAAACCCAGCACTGAATATTCACGAATTGTGGGGCAATTACAAAAAGCTTTCACACATGTCATGGAAATGCCAGATGCAAAAGAGGAAGGAATCGATTGAGAGAATCTTGGTCAAGCAATGACAGAATATACAAAAATTAATGATACACAAAACCACAAGGAGCTCAGAGACAGAAAGTAGGATAATACCAAAAAGTTGACACCTAAGCATAACATATTCAAACTGCAGAAAATCGGGGACAAGTAAAAAATCTTGATGAATAGGGGAAAAAAACCTTAACTATAAAGGAGCATGCATAAGAATTACACTAGACTTCTCCTTAGAAAACTTGCAAGCCAAAAGTAAGTGGAATGATATTTAAAAAGGAGAAATTATTTGCAAAAGACATAGGTAATGAAAGACTTAATCCAAAACATACAAAAACCTCTTAAAACTCAACAGTAAAACAACCCAATTAAAAAGTGTGCAAAAGGGCTGGGCGCAGTGGCTCATGCCTGAAATCCCAGCATTTTGGGAGGCCAAAGTGGAGGATCACTTGAGACCAGGAGTTTGAGACCAGCTTGGACAACACAGTGAGACCCTATGTCTATTTTTATTTTTTTATTTATTTATTTATTGTGAGACCTTGTCTCTAAATTAAAAAAAATAATAAACAAATAGGCCGGGCTTGGTGCCTCAGCCTGTAATCCCACGCTTTCGGAGGCCGAGGTGAGTGGATTGCCTGAGACCGCGGGTTTGAGACCCACCTGGACAACTTGGCGAGACGGCATCTCTACAGTAAATCAAAAAATTAGCCGGCCATGATAGTGTGCGCCTGTAATTCCGGCTACTTGGAAGGTTGAGGCGGAAGGATCATCGTAGCCCAGTAGGTCAAGGCTGCAGTGGCCGGGATCGGCCACTGCACTCCAGTCTGGGTGACAGAGTGAGACTCCAATTCAAAAAATAAATAAATAAATAAATAAATGAGTTTGGCACTTTCTTACAGCTTAACACATTCTTGCCATATAACCCAGCAATGGTGCTTCTTGATATTTACCCAAATGAATTGGAAATGTTCATGCTCACAAAAACCTGCACACAAATGTTTGTAGTAGGTAGATTCATAATAACAAAACCTGGAAACACCCAAGGTGCCCTTGAGTAGGTGAATAAATAGACTATGGTACACAATGGAATAACAATGGAGTATTATTCAGCACCAAAAAGGAATGAGCTATGAAGCCACAAGACATGGGGGAAACCTCAATATATATTGCTGTGTGAACATCAATCTGAAAAACACATATACTACGTGATTCACAGTATACAACATTCTGGATAAGGCAAAGCTATGAAGACAATAAAAAGATCTAGGGTTTACAGGGGTGGAGGGGTGGTGGGATGAATATGAGAAGCAGAAGGGACTTTTAAGCCGGGCTCGGTGGCTCGGCCTATAATCCCATGTCTTTGGGAGGCTGAGGTGAGTGGATTGCCTGAGCCCGCGGGTTTGGACCCACCTGGGCAACTTGGCGAGACCTCATCTCTACAATAAATCAAAAATAAGCTGGGCGTGGTAGCATGTGCCTGTAGTTCCAGCTACTTGGAAGGTTGAGGCGGAAGGATCATGGGAGCCCAGCAGGTCGAGGCTGCGGTGGCCGGGAGCGGCCACTGCACTCCAGTCTGGGCGACAGAGTGAGACTTCAACTCAAAAAAAAAAAGGGGGATTTTTAGAGCAGTGAAACCATTCTGTATGATGATAAATGCATACATGCCATCTTATATTTGTCGAAACCCATAGAATGTACAATACAAATAATAAAACCTAATATGAACTATGAACTTATAGTTAATAATGTATCAATACTGACTCATCAATTTTTTTCTTCTGGCTCCCATCTTTTTTTCGGGTGGGCAGAGGGAGTCAGGGTCTCACTCTGCTGCCCAGGCTGGAAGGCAGTGGCAAGATCAGGGCTCACTGCAGTCTCAATCTCCTGGGCTCAGGTGATCCTTACCTCAGCTTCCAAGAGCAGCTGGGACTACAGATACCTATTACCATGTTTGGCTTATTTTCTGACTTTTTTTTTTTTTTTTGGT